AGAGTTTCTCAATGTCCTCGCCATTGCCTTTGATGAAACAGACCTCGTCGCCAATCCAGACCCCTCGGGGCCCGCCCTCCCGAGCAGACAGGTGTGTGTGTGTCTGTGTCTGTGTGTGTGTGTGTGTGTGTGTGCGTGTGTGTGTGTGTGTGTGTATGTGTGTGTGTGTGTGTGTGTCTGCTTCGTTTGTGTCTTGTCTCTCTGCCTTGTCTCTCTGCCTTGTCTCTCCGCTTTGTCTGTCTGTACCTGTGTCTGTGTATCCGTGTGGCTATCTGTCTATTCACCTGCATGTCCAATACTTGTCTTGTCCGTCTTCCGGCTGTTACGCGTACTCACGCATACGGAATGCTGTGCTGCTGCTGCTGTAGGTTGTGGTGGAAAGTCTGCTGTTTGTGATGGTGAAGGACAACAAAGGAAAGAACATGACGTTCACACCAGAGCAGGTTTGTGCATTTCTCATGCATGACATCCCTCTCGCCTGAAGCTGGCATGATTGCCTTGCATTCCTCAACCACGTTCATTGTGTCGTGGGGTCTCATTTTGTCTCATTTTGTCTCATTTTGTGATGTGTATCTTTCTCCCTTGGGTGCCTGTTAGGTTTGCCACCTCTTCACATTCATCGCCCGGCAGGTCTCCAGACACGACAACATCATCTCGGTATGTGGCACAGCAGACAACAGAGCACGCAATCCCTCGCGCACCTACACGCAAAATGTGTGGAATGCCAGTACACGTGTGTATACACGTGCACACACGTCCATCACACACACACACACCCGCACACACGAGCAATTGTCTCATGATGCCATTGTTTCGTGGTGTTTCAGGTTGACCGGACGCTGTTTGACCAAGTGCTGCGTCGCCTCACGTCAACAGACGCCGGCAGGAAGGACGAGCAGGAACAGGTGTGGCACAAGTGCTGGATGCATGGCGACGAGTGTGCAGGCTTGGTGTGCGTTGGCGTTTGCGTGTTGCAGCCAATGAAGCTGTTGTCTTCTCATCATGCTCTCTGCCTGGCTGGCTGTCGCTCGTTCTCAATTTCATACACTCACACACTCACACACTCACACACTCACACACTCACTCACACTCACACTCACACACATTTGCACACTCTCTCTCCCATTCACTCGCAGGCGCTGCTTGATCTGCTTGACGCCGGCGGTCTGGCGCAATTTGATGTCGAAAAACTCCTCACATCGTGCGAACAAGCAGGTACTGAGATAGTGTGTGTGTGTGTGTGTTTGTTTGTTTGTTTGTTTGTTTGTTTGTTTGTTTGTTTGTTTGTTTGTTTGTTTGTTTGTTTGTTTGTTTGTTTGTTTGTTTGTTTGTTTGTTTGTTTGTTTGTTTGTTTGTTTGTACGTGGATTGCAGGGCGTGCCTGTGTGATGTGCTTCTTGGTCTACCTGTGATGTGTCTTGTGCACCGCACCGTTCGCCTGCAAAACAAACCTTGCCCTCATTCCGACGACCGCCACCCATGTCGCGCAGGCTTCTACATGGTGTGCGAGCGGGTGTACTCGGAGCAGCAGCGGTATGCGGACATTGTGCCGTGCTACCTGCGCGACCCGGCACGCCAGCACCTCGTGTTCCCCTTCATCCACCGCTGCCTGAAGCAGCAGTACGTGCCGCCGTCGGAGGCGCAGAAGATCAAAGAGGCAACAGTCGACCACATCGAGGACTTTGTTCGCATCAGCGCACAGGTGTGTGTATGTGTGTGTGAGAGTGCGTGCGTGTGAGAGTGTGTGTATGTGTGTGTGTGTGCGTGTGAGAGTGCGTGCGTGTGAGAGTGTGAGTGAGAGACAACAGTAGCTCGTCGTGCCTCAATAGTTTGAGTTCTTCATCAGTGGCTCACATGTTCAATCGCTGTCGCTGCTGCTACAACCACCGCAGGACACGGCCAAGCTGATTCTGGCGTGCTTCAACCCGCAGCTCATGCTGGTGCGCCTGTGCTGTGCCAACCCTGTTGTGCCCTTATTGTTGCATCCTCCTCTGCACACTGTCTTGGAACCCCCTTTTTACCTTGCTCTCACATCAATGTTTCTCCTGCCAAACACATGCACAACTGCACACTGTCAGTTTGCACAACGCCTCTCCTCCACTCCAGAACTGTTTTATCAGTTCCTCAAGAGCGTTTTCCATCTCAGAGTGAGTCATGCGAACGTGTGCGTGAGTGTGTGCTTGTGTGCATGTGTGTGTGTGTGTTTTGAGTGTTTAACAGAGCGTGCGCTTTGTCCTGCCTTCTTTGTTGACCTCGCACAACCGCCACCACGTCTTCCTCCTGCCTCCACTGTGCCCGACACCGCAGGACCGCGCGCCCGAGGGCACAGACTACAATCTGCCCGCTGAGCTGGAGGAGGCGTTCATCGAAGCCATGTGCCGCGACCACCCAACAGAGGTCTACAACTACCTCAAGACGCACGAGCACGTGCGCATTGAGCAGTGTCTTGTGCTCACCAAGCGATACAAGCTCACAGATGCCACGGCGTGGCTCCTGGAGAGGAAGGGCGAATTCCTCCAGGCTTACGCCCTCATTCGCGAGGTGTGTGTCTGTGTCTGTGTTTGTGTCTGTGTCTGTGTTTGTGTCTGTGTCTGTGTGTCTGTGTGTCTGTGTCTGTGTGTGTCTGTGTGTGTATGTGTCTGTGTGTGTATGTGTCTGTGTTTGCATCTTGTGTACGCCTGTGATTTGTGAACATGATGTCTGTCATGATGGGTTGACCTGTGTTACATTCTTCTGCAACACACCAATGTCCCGCCATCTCACTATGCCACCCACCACACGTGCGCCACGTTATGCTTTGTCTCTCCCCCCCCCCCCGCAGACACTACTCACGCAGCTCTCGCAGTACAACCTTGCCTTTGAGCAAGTGGAGAAAATGCTGACTCGGCAAGAGCAAGCGGGCGAGCCGCTGCAGGATCCAGACCCTGATCCACGAGAGCCCGCCATCAAGGCGTTCCGCAAGTTTCTCGATGTTGTGCTCGACATGCTGCAGCGCTGCTCTCGCAGGTGACAACTCAGGATATAAATGTGGACGTGTTTGCTCGTTTGTGTGTTTGTCTGTGTGGGCGAGTGTGTGTATGTGTGTGTGTGTGTTTGTTTGTTTGTCATGGGAACGAGGCAGTGCGCCTGATTGCATGTTTTTCTTTGCGCAACGTTTTGTGTTCGTGTCTCCCCGTGCAACTACACGTGTCCTGACCGGTGTGCACACGGCACCACAGGATGCCGGACCAGAAGGAGCGTCGCAGCATCTGGTGCAAGACGCTCGAGGTCCTCATTGAATTCCAGCAGATTATGCGCACAAAACTGCGGCTGACAGGCGGCGACTACGCCCACGTCATGAACAGACATATGAAGTGCGTAACTCTGTGCGTGTGTGTGTGTGTGTGTGTGTGTGTGTGTGTGTGTGTGTGCTCCGTATCGTGTCATCCTGAATGCGAGGGCTTCGAAATTTGCTTGCACCTGTTGTGTTCTCTCCTCACAGTATGGCTGTGTTCTCCACGCGCACGTGTGTGCAGGGAGGTTGTGCGGCAGATGGCGGAGTTTGTTGATCCGCCAGCAATTCTCCACCTCATCATGAGCGGCGGCGCCATGAGCGACAGATTCGATGACATTCGCGTACGCCGATGCACTGCTGTGTTCTGCACACGCAGTCGTGTAAATGTTTGAGAGAGAGAGAGATAGTGTGTGTGTGTGTGCATTTGTGCGTTTGCCTGTCGGTGTGCATCTCACGTGACGACGAGTTATTGCGTTGCAGGATTTGGTCACGGGGATGTTGGAGACGTACAACTATGAGCGCACGCAACTGCAGGTGCCTGCAACCGCGCCATTGTCATGTGTTGTTGACCGTGTGCGCGTTGACAATCCATGCTTGATTGCTCGTGTGTCCATGCCATCCCGCTGATATGTTGTTGTGTGTGATACGTGTGCCTGACAGACGACCAATGCCATTATCCACAATGACGTGTACGGGCTGCTGCAAAACCGCCAGCGTGCACTGCGTCACGCCTACCCTTCGGCCTGGAGGTGTGCACGCCATCTCGCTCGTCTGCCTCAGCGCATTGTTGCTCAAGCAATCTTTCCCCTTGTGCATGTGTTTGCGTGCATGCATGTGCTCACGTGTGTGTGTGTGTGTGTGTGTGTGTGTGTGTGTGTGTGTGTGTGTATGTGTGTATGTGTGTGTGTGTGTCTGTCTGTCTGTCAGGTGCAACCTGAGCAACCGCCGCCTCTATGGCGCCGATGCCGTTGATGATGACATCATCATGTTCAGATCCGGACAGTGCACCTACCTCTCGGTCAGATGCCACGTGCACATGTGTGTTTGTGTGCTTGTGTGTTCACATGTACGCGCTCTTTGTGCTTCATCGTGATTACATCTTGTGTTTGTTTGGTCAACACGTGGCGGTGCTTTGCGCGTGTGATGCCATGCATTCTCACAAGCAATCGCCGGTCCTCCATGTGTTGCAGAGTCTTCCTCGCGTGCCCCGCCGCTTCCGCAAGAACAAACAGGACACAACCGACATCCAGGTGCGTGTAGACGTATGTTCGTTCGTGCTTGCTGGTTGGTGGGCGCTGCTTGTCTCTGCTGTTGTTTGTATGACCTCCCCACCACATCAGACTGCGCTCATTGCGCTGCGCTGCACCTCCATGCTTGTTTCTTGTGATGCACCATGCAGGGCCACCACAACGTCAAAGCGCTTGACCGATGGATCGACAGCACGCAGGTAAGCGCAGCAGAAACATGTCATGGTGCCGTCGTGCTCATGTGTTGGGCACGGTTGCACCTATGAGCACACACACACACATACACATACACACATACATGTATATATATACACATGTCATTCATGCATACGTACGTGTGCACACATACATGCGTACATACTCATGTCACTCGTATGCATACGTACGTACATACTCATGTCACTCGTATGCATACGTACACACACATCCACATGCTCATGTCACTCATACATACGCATTCCTCCCCCCCCCCCACCACACACACTCTCTCTTCCGGGCCATCAGTCGGACGTGAGCTACCTGCATCTGCTGACGGAGCAGGAGCGCAGCCAGCACGCGAGCGCATGGGACGACGAGCCCGCGGATCCACACGCCGCCCGGCAACAGGCCGCACTCGACCGCCTTCGCGTGTGGGAGAACCACGTTGGGCGGGCGTACGACGCGCAGGTGAAGCCGAAACCGCGAGCAATGGAGACACCGGCCGTGCTCAAACCGCGCCGCCGCCTCAAGCTCAACGTCACCTCGTAGTGGTGGCAGACGCTGGTGCTGGTGCTGGTGCTGCTGGTGCTACTGTTGCTGGTGTTGAAAGTGGTGGTGATGAAGTTGGTGGTGCTCCTGCATGTGGTAGGGCTGGTGGGGGGCGCACTTGCGTTTCCTTCGGTGTGCTGGCGTGGGTTACCGTTGCTGGCTGGCTGTGCGTCTCGGACTTGTTAGACTCTGGGGTTGGTCGCTTGTTTCTTGACTGGTGGTGGTGTCTGAACTTGAGAATCGATGAAACAACGTGCGAAATGCGTGTGTTGGTCTGTGTGGATGCTTCGTTGTCGAGACAGCATGCGAATGTGGTGCACTGCGGTGGCGTGGCGGTGTTGGACCGAACACCGTTTTTTTTTTTTTGGTCTCAGACAATAAGACAGTTCCACTTGAGCACTACACATGCACGTCAGCGAGGGATCGTGAGCGATGTGGCAGTGTGCTTTATTGACAAAGACGGGTGGGTGGAATGGGTGGAATGAGTTTGAAGAAATGCCATCCCACGCTTCAGCCAACCACTCGGCTTGTATTGTTGTGGCTGCGAGCAGCTCAAAGCACCCCGCCAAAACCACATACACCCACACAGCACACAACATAAAACAAAGAATAGAGCGAGTACCTGGCTTTTCAACCAATGCTGTCTTTACATTTACTTGTCACACGGAAACACCTGATCATCGCAGTGTGTGTAGTTTGCACAAGATTGTGTCGCCACCATCATCCTACCTTGCATACAAGACAAAGCAGCCAAGCACCACCACTGCCACTGCCACCGAACGCTCGCTCCTTCCACATTGGTACATCAGCCAAACTTGGCCTTGCTCTTCCTGCTGCTTGCGACGCGTTGGAAAAAGCCCTGCACCGATCCCGCAGAGGCAGAGCGCGGTGTTGACGGCGTTTGCGGCTGCAGAGGAGAGGGGAATGATGGCGTGTGAGGGCGGGGGGCGTTAATTGGCGTGAGGATAGACGTGATAAGTGTCACCGTGACAAATGTGAAGGAACGCAAGCATAAAACAAGGAGAGAGAGAGAGACATATATAGACACACACACACACGCACACACACACACAGGCACAAGAGCAGACGGCCAGACAAATCGGGAAAACACAGGCACACAGCCACGCAAACACACAAACTCGCACACACAAGCCAAGGCTGGTGTGATCAAATTTCATACATTTGACGAGATGGAGGTGAGGGTGTGGCTGCGGTTTGGGAACTTGAAGGGCGAACTGCCGGGTGGCGGAGAGAAGAGCGCTCCTGGCGAATAAATTGGGGATGGCAGAGAAGTGAGAATACGGAGGTGTTGGCAGGCGATGCGTCTGCTAACAGACAATCAACGCAAGCGCGCGCGCACACACACACACACACACTCACTCACTCACTCACTCACTCACTCACTCACTCACTAACTCACTCACTCACTCACTCACTCACTCACTCACTCACTCACTCACGGCACACACACACACACCTACCTGCGGACGTGTGTGCCGGTGCGGGGCTGGTTGCAAGCATGGCAGAGGAGGAGGCAGCGGAGGCGGTCTTTGTGCGGCGGCGAAATGACCCGCTCGGTCTGTCCTTTGTGCCCGCCGTCCCGCGCCGCCCACGGAACAGCGCACCTGGCAACAGAGACGCGGTGCGTTGGTGGTGTAGGTAGGGTTGAGGACGTCTGATTACAAGCAAAGCAGGCGAGACACTCAGAGATGGCTTCCCACACACACACACACACACACACACACACACACACACACACACACACACACACACACACACACACACACACACACACACACACACACACACACACACACACACACACACACACACAACACGAACGGTTGACCCACCGACGGATTCGCGGAGGGTGAGGCGGCGCTGCAGTGGGGACTCGGTGGTGTCGGGCGGTTGGAAGAGCTTTGGCTTCACGCGCGCCTCTTTCTTCTTCTGTCGCTCGAGCTGCACCAGCGGCAACAGCTTCGACTCGCTTGTGTTGGCAATAGAGAACAGCGCCGGGGCAGCATACACCGCCGTTCGGGGAGAAATGGTAAGTAGCAGGCCAACGCATACAAACGCTTGCTGCACACTCACACTCACACACGCACTCACACTCACACTCACACTCACACTCACACTCACACTCACACTCACACTCACACTCACACTCACACTCACACTAGGGCAGGGTGCCTGTCACTCACGCGTAAGCTTTCTGTTCCATATCAGCAGGCGTGAGGCCGGCGTGATTCTGAATGTCCTCCGAAGCGCCTGCGAAACCAACCAAGCACAGCACAGCATAGCTGTCAGCTGTGGTCGTAGCCAAACACACAAGCATTGCACAGGCCATGCACTGGCGCACGCAAGCGTGCAAGCACGCACCGATGACTTTGAGGTGTTCGACGATGGCGCTGTTCTTGCCATTTATGTTGTTGGCGTAGGCGACATGCAATGGTGTGTTTCCGGCAAAGTTCTGAACATGCAACGCTGCCTGATAATCGCCCTGCAGCAGTACTTGCAGCAGTTCCAGGTCACCACGCCTTGCCGCGTAGTGCAATGCACACGAGCTGCAAGCGAAACGCGCCAACACCATGACACCCCCTCCCGTTCGTGAGTCACATGGGGTGGCCATGACAGCCACAAACCAAGTTTCTACGACGACAAACCGAGCAAAACCAAACCGGTGTGCACGCCAGCGTGTACATGTCGTCTGTGTATGTGTATGTGTGCACGTATGTGTGTGTGTATGTGTGTGTATGTGTGTGTGGTGTGGTGGCTCACCCGGTGTACAGGTCTGTGGTTGCGATAAGACTGGGGTCTTTCCTGATCATCACGGAGAGGCCATCCAGATCCCACCGCGTTAGCGATCGCAGCCAGTACCGCTGCTGCTCTGTGTGTGTCTGCAGAGAGAACAGCAAGAAGAGTGAGCAAGGGAGAAGGAGGACGCTGGACGTGATGAGCGGCAGGGGCACACACGCATGGCATGCAGGACGTAGGCGCGTGCATGAACATGCATTCGTTCAAACACACACACCGTCATGTAATCAATCACACGCAAGCCAACCAACCTTGCGGTCAAATGAAGCCATGGAATGAGCGGTGTCATCTCCGTCCGTGTCTTCTGCGTCCCCACTGCCACCGGCACGGCTGTCGTCATCCGCTGCCGTCCTTGCCCTCGCATGCTCATGAAAGAACGACAGCCGCCTCGCCCGAAACGCTCGGTGGTCGTCCGCCATCGCCGTTCGTTGTTGTTTTTGTCTCTGCAGCAGCCAGCCGAAAATACACAACACACGAAAACAGCACAAGTCGCTTAGAAATGAGTAAATGAAACCAAAATACGTAACGAGCTTCTCACCGTAGCTCAGTTGGCAGAGCGTGGGATTGTAGACGGTTTACACTCAGAATTCCTACGGTCACTGGTTCGATTCCAGTCGGTGAGACTTCCTTTTTTTTTGTTGTTGTTGTTGTGTGTGTTGTTGTGTGTGTTGTTGTGTGTGTTGTGTGTTGTGTGTTGTGTGTTGTGTGTTGTGTGTTGTGCGCACCTCGCCTGTACGTACCGCAAACCTTCCCCTCCTCTTTGTTTTTGCTCAAGGCATATATTCTGGTGCTTGCACGACTACCATGAAGCGAAACACACGGCAAACAGCGAGCGCGTCATGGCATGTAACAAAACGAGGCCTGAAAAAGCACCTACATTATCGTGTGAGATGTGTGTGTGTGTGTGTGTGCCTTGTGTTCCATCACTCCAAGTGCAGGTCTTGGACAAGGCGGGTCACGGTGTCCAGGAGCGGCGTCCACGCCGACGCCATCTACGATCAGAACAACAACAACCACAACAACAACCACAACAACAACAACAACAACAACAACAACAACAACAACAACAACAACAACAACAACAACAACAACAACAAGATGCAAGTGGATGTGAGCCCGTGCAAACGCCACAAGCCGTGGTGGCCTCCGACAGTGTGCAGGTACATCCTCGCATGTTCACAGTTTGCCCGGGGGGGGGTGTAGTCACGCGTCTCACCTGCTTGTGGCCGGTGATCTGCGATGTGACCATCTCCTCCAGCATTGTCCCAATCTGCGCAATATTGGCCTGCACAACACGCACGCAAACACGGTGTGGAGGTGAGGCAATCGGGTCACAAGCACAAGCACGCGCGCGAATGGCCAAACCAACTCCAGAGCAGTGAAAAACTGCATCAACAACAGAAATAGAGAGAGCGTCACCGACGCAGAAGCGCGCGCACACACACATACAAGCATGTGAAACAAACACTCTCAACACACAACAAATTAACACACTGCACACACATTACACACACACGCTGCACACACATTGCACACACACACACCACTGCACACACATTGCACACGAGGGTTGGGCACACCTTGATGAGCTTGCTCTCGCACCAGACGCAGTACATGGAGAAGTTGTTGACCGCTGCGAGCGACTGCAGGGCAGAGTCGCGCTGCTGGATCTTCGCCTCCAACTTTGCCGACTCTGCGCCGTCCGAACTGCTGCTCAGCCGGCTCCGATCACGCGTCTGCACACGCAGTGTATGTGTGTGCGTGCATGTGAGTGTGAGTGTGAGTGTGAGTGTGAGTGTGAGTGTGAGTGTGAGTGTGTGTGCGTGTGTATAATAGGAGGAAAGCAGGTGAATGAATGTAGGATAACCCTGTGCTCAACACACACAAACACACACACACAGATGCACGCCAACCCGTATCCAGCGCCCCACCTGTTTCTTGACGGTCGATCCAACGTCCTTGGCAATGCCTTTGAGGCGGCGCGTGAGCAGGTCGCGAAATGCAGACAGGATCTCGTGCAAGTTCTGCAAGTTGTGCACCAGCCCGTCCATCTCCCGCACGCACTGCTCCTCACGGCGGTCAACAACAGACTTGAGCAGATTCGACGTGTCCCTGATGGACGGTTGCGTGTGTGTGTGTGTGTGTGTGTGTGTGTGTGTGTGTGTGTGTGTGTGTGTGTGTGTGTGTGTGTGTGTGTGTGTGTGTGTGTGTGCATTGGGGTACGGACAAGAGAACGTTGCGTGAATACGTGCGTGATAATCGACGAGCCTGCACACGTGTAGCCGCAAATAACATACATACGCACACATACACACATACACACATACACACACACACAGCACCGCCCGCCTGCCTGACCTGAGCCCCGTCTCCAGGGCCTGCGCCTTGTTGTGCCCGGCAACGTGCGACATCTGCGATAAGCCGAGCTTTCTACGGGGGTTGGTTTGGAACATGGTTGGGGGGGGGCAAAGTGAGCGGGTAGCACACTCTGCAAAATGACACCCAAAAACGACCACACGAAAGCAGTACGAAGCGAGGTAACATACGCACTCCACTCTGCGTGCACCACCACCACCACCACCAACCACCGCCGCGGCACGCATGTATTCGTGTCTGACTTGATATCGGCGGCGAATGCGGTCCAGAGCAGCGCCTGCGTCTCCGTTGTCGCCACAACTTTCTCAGCCGTCTCTCGCAGCGATTTCATCCTGCATACGTGCGTGTATGTGCATGCGTGTGTGCGTGTGCGTGTATGCGTGCGTGCGTGTGTCCATGTGTGTGTGTGTGTGTCCATGTGTGTGTGTGTGTGCGCGTGTGTGCGTGTGTGTGTGTCAACGACAGGAACCAATAACAGCAGAGTGCACTTGAAACACAGATGCCAGGTGCCACCAACACAGACCACGCACAGCATCAGCACTGACACCACTGCAGGTGCACATGCACGCACGCACGCACGCACGCACGCACGTTGCGAGGACGGGCTCGAGCTCCGTGTGTGTGGACTGGATGGCCGCTGCAATATTGTCCGGGAGATGCTGTTCCACGTGCAGCGCGAGCGGATTTGTCTGGAACTCGTCCTTCGCAACCTTGCCCATGTCTTTGGCAGAATGGTAGAAGGTGGAGGAGAAAGAGGGGAGGGGTTGGAGCTGTTAGGTCGTGAAACGGTCGTCAGAAGCACAACATCATCGCAGTCACAAGTGTCCAAAACACAAGCAAACCAAGCAAGCCAAGCAAACCAAGCGAACAAGCAAAAAGCAAACGAGACGGACGAAACAAACAACACAAGCAAACCAAGCAACCCAACAAGAGACCTTTGAGTCTGGACTGGAGATCGCCGCCCTCGTATGTGAAGAAGACGTCGAGCGCTTCGTCATCGCGCATCACGGGATGGCGGCACACAAACGTCAGGTACCTGGTGCACACACACGCACACGTATGTACATGTAAATGCGCATGCGTGAAGACGCAGAGAAGTAATCAGGCGCTGATAAGAGGCCGTGAAAACGCACCATCACACACATACACATACACATACACATACACATACACATACACACGTACATGAATGCACATGATCCGATGCGCACCTTTCAAGCGCTTTGCGGCGCTTCTGCAGGAAAGATTTGTTCTTGTTTCCACCAAACGTCTTTGGCGGCAGCCTGTAGTAGGCGATGATGACATGAACTGGTGTATCGCACCACAAACATACACACACATGCACACACGCACACGCACACGCACACACACGCACACTTGCACACACACACGTACGTACGCACACAGAGCAATTGGTTGCGTACTGTGGGATGATGCGATATGGAAAGCGTTTGCGGAGGAGGGCATCGAGCGGCTCAAAGTCGCTGTAGCGCCGCGTGCACGTCACGTTACGGCGCTGGCACATGGCAACACGGGCGGTGGTGGACGCGTGAACGTGAGCAAGAGTTGATGGCAGGTGATTTAATTCAGTTGTGTATGCGCGCGCGCGCGTGTGTGTGGGCGTGCGTGTATGTGTGTGATTGCGATGGTCTATGCCAGTGTACATGTATGCGCTTGGCATGTGAGCATGACGCTGTTCTTACCTTTGAGAAGATGGTGTAAGTGGTGTGCTTCTTGAACATGCCGGCCTCCTTGCCAAGGTTGACTTGAATAAACTCAGACTCCTGAAGTGCAATCGATTGACACCAATGGTTCGATCAGAGGCGCACGCGCACGCACTGGTGTTGCACGGAAGGAAACACAAAGCAAACAACGCAAAACAACACGCACACATGCTTACACACACACACACACACGCACGCACACACACACACACGCACGCACACATGTGCGCACTGACCTCCAGCTCGCGGAAGGAATATTCCGGGGCAATGTTGTCACGCTCGGCTGTCTGCTGCAGCGTGTGCAGATTGTCAATCTTGATGGCCGGTAGCTCGGTCGCCTCCTGCAGTGTCGCCATGTCGGGGGAGAACCCACTCTGCTGCATCCCAATCAGCCCCAGGGCCCAAAACAAACCATCTGCGCATGGTTGCATGCGACGTTGTGTGTGTATGTGTGTGTGTGTGTGTAAACTAAGCAGCGATCAAAACATCACACAGCACGTGAATGGCAACAGCACCACTCGTGCACACACTCATTCACTCACTCACTCATCCACTCGCTCACTCATTCACTCACTCACACTCGCTCACTCACAGACACACATGCACACACCTTTGTCGATGGCGTCTGTCTTGTTGAGGTCGACGCTGGACCAGATGGCGTCTGCAGCCTCCTTGCCAATCATGGTTGATCGGCAGAGCTGCATGAATGTGTGCCGCGTGATGCGGTTTTCATTCTGCGGGCACACTGACGTGTACACCCGCTCGTATGACTCGGGCACCCGCTTGCCTGTGGCATGGATGCCCTGTTGTGTGTTCTTGTCCGCTGCACCTGAATTGTTGTTGTTGTTGTGTTGTTGTTGTTGTGTGGTGTGTGGTGTGTGGTGTGTTGTGTGTGGTGTGTGGTGTATTGGTGTGACATTCGATCACAACATAGCTGCAGCTGATTGTTCAGCACAGCCAACAATCACATAACGTAACGTAACTGCACAACACACACAACACAACACACTGCACGCAACACACACAACACAACACACCTTTCGCCGTGCTCATGATGCCTGCTTTTGTTTTGGTTGTGTGTGGTGCGCGCTTTGTTGCTGTCGCTTGCTTGGTTTGAGGCACGACGTTTCACGAATGATATTGGTCACTTTTCCCAACTTGAACAGCCACGTCCGACACAAACGACATAACGACAATGATGCGCTTGCTGGTGGTGGTTGTGGCTGGGCTGCTGCTTGTGGCAAGCAGTCTGAGCCCGGGCTGTGATGCGAGCGATCCAAGGAACCACTACGAAATGCTGGGTCTGGCAAGGGACTGCGCCCGATCTGCAGTGCGGCGTGCGTTCCGACAGCTCGCTCTCAAGTACCATCCCGACAAGAACCCCGATCCCGAGGAACAGAAGATGTTCATCACCATCGCAGCAGGTGGGTGTAGCTGAGCGCAAACCAGTTATGTGTGTCTGTCTATCTGTCTGTGTGTCTGTGGTGTGTTGAGGAAAACACGCACCCCTCCCCCTTCAACTTGCACAAGCCGTATGTGCTTCAACGCCCTCGCATGGATGCGATCATCCCCTGGCTAATGCACACACACACACACGCACATACGTACACTCGCACACACGTACACACACACACGTACACACACGCAATCTCATTGTGCATCCTCGCTTGACGTGGTTCAGCCTATGAGACGCTCAACGACAAGGCGCTGCGCGCTCAGTACGATGCCATGATTGGTCCCGGTGGGGTGGACCCGAATTACATGACACGGCGTGGCCCATCCGGTGCCCCGCCACCATCTGGCCCTGCACCGCCGCCGCCACCGCCGTTCGACTACGAGGCCTTCTTCCGCAAGTTCGACGACGTGCTGCGGGAGCACGCAGAGACGCACCTCAACGCCGTGAAGCAGGCCGGCATCGACCCGTCGGGCGTCGCAGACCACCTGAAGCAGCACCTGCGCGACCACATGAAGAAGCACCAGGACGCAAACCGCGCACACGCCATGGCCGTGCAGCAAGCAAACGCGCACCACAACCACGGCCACAACCACGGGCAGCGCAAGTACGAGCAGCCACGCGAGGACCTGCTGCTGGAAGGGCTCTTTGATGACGTGGACGAGGACGAGGAGAAAGTCTTCCAACAACACCTCGCCACCATGAAATGTTCGTCGTCGTTGTTTGTTGTTGTTGTTGTTGTTGTTTGTTGTTGTTGTTGTTGTTGTCGTCGTCGTCGTCGCTGTTGTCGTCGTCGTCGCTGTTGCTGTTGTTGCTGTTGCTGTTGCTGCTGAGACAATGTTGAGACGAATCACACCGCGGTTGTCGTAAGCACAACTGACCGTGGTGCTGGGGCTGGCCCTTGTTCAGCGCCTTTTGAATCGCATCTCACTCACTCGTGCATGTGTGTGTGTGTGTGTGTGTGTGTGTGTGTGTGTGTACTATTGCCGTCTGTACGCAGCATCGGAGGCGCATGGGAAGCACAGCAAGAGCAGCCGCAAGTGCACGACCAAAGTCGTGGAGACGGATGGCAAAGTGGAGACCATCACAGAGTGCGTCGAGACAACGGAGGAGTGACGAGTCATTCTGCTGTGGTTACGAATGGTGGTGGTGGTGGTGGTAGTGGTGGGTGGCGACAATGGTAATGGAACTGCTTTGCTTCGCCTGTCATCAAAGGCAGTCCGCCATTCGCGCTGTACGTTTGCGTTACCATACGCGACCTCTCTGTGGTCATGAATGAACACGAAAGTAATGCACAAGAAGGGTCTTTCTTCGTTTGAGTTGGGCAAGGGAAGCGGGTTGCCATTCATGCAGAGATGGCGTGGGTGTGCATGCATGCAAGCACGGGCAACGTGGGGACGCAAAGCAGGTCATGTAAAATGCGACTACGAGTGAATGAAACGACAAACCAGCGTGGAAAATGGTCGGATAGACAATCACCAAACACGGAGCTGTAATGTAACAGCACACAAAGGTGTACGGAACAAAACACAGTACAAACACAAACACACACGCACGCGCACGCGCACATGCACAGACACAGACACGAACACACAGGTAAAACACACAAAAACACACATGCAAAAATACACGAAAACACACATGCACACACCCACATGCACAAACACGAAAACGCATGCACAAACACACGAAAACACACATACAGCCCCCAGTCGTGTGCTCTACATGGAAGAAAGGAGCTGGCCGAGGTCGCGGCACTCCTGGTGCTGGCGCTGCTGCTCAAGTGCTGTAATCTCCTCCTTCATCTGCACGAACGTCGGCCGCTTGAAGGGGTCGTAGTCCCAGCACTGCGACAGGAGCGCCCACATGTCCTTTGGGCACGTGGTTGGCGGGCGGGATACGAGACGCGCCTTGCCCTCGCGGATCATGTCGCGCGCTACCTCTGTCGTCAGAGACTTGAACGGCAGGCGGCCGTACCTGCACATGATGGTGATGTGTTTGTTTTGGGGGGGGGGGTGAGGATGGGTGATGGGATGTTGGTGATGAGCAGAGGTGTAAGAAGCAAAATGGGACATGGGGTGAAGTGCGTTGGAAACCTGGCCACGATACACATAAACGGCATGATACAGCATCACACTCACGCACACACACACATGCACATGCACATGCACATGCACATGCACATGCACATGCACATGGACAACCCACCCCTGTTGTGCTGCACTTACATGAAGATCTCCCAGCACGTGACGGCGTATGCCCAAATGTCTGTGCACTCTGAAAACACTTTTCTGAAGTTTGCGAGTGTTTCTGGCGCCATCCAGCGCACTGACAAACGCATCACCGTCTGCAGGACAAACTCGCCGTTGCTGTCCTTTGGTCGCGCCTGGAGAACGCAGGAAGAGGAGGGAGGGTGTGTTGCAACACATAAGTAGTGAGAAAAAGAAAGCCGCCAGAATGATGTTAGTTCATCAGGCGGCTACACACACACACACACACACGCACACACACACACACACACACATGCGTGCACCTGTCCAAAGTCTGCAAGTTTGACAAGCATGTTGTGTCCGAGGAGAACATTTCGCGCAGCAATGTCCATGTGAACAAACCCCTGACACGTCAAAGAGGCAGACAGGACGGGTGACGTGTGTGGGCACATGCGATAACACATGCATGGACAGTTCGCGTGTGAGCTGATGACGAAATGAGTTCTCTGCCTTTGGTGAACCATCCGTCCCCGACCTTGACACAACCACAAGCACACACACAACCACAACCACAAACCTCCCTTTACCCAACAATCACCATGCAGCCATGCTTGCCACGCCCATTGACCGTCAACCACAAGCATCTTGACCATCCATCCTCGACCGCTTGCGTGAGCACCTGCGCGTGGACGTATTCCAGTGCAGATGCAAGCTGGCGACAGCAAGTCAGGTGTTCACGCGCTGTCAACTGTAGCTTTCTCTCCAAGCAACTCTGCAAAACGTGCCGTGGAGTGGAGTGGAGTGTGTGTGTGTGTGTGTGTGTGTGTGTGTGTGTGTTGACGTTGGTGAGCACGTAGGTGCACGTGCGTACATAAGTGCGCGTATGTTTGTGTGTGTGTGTGTGTGTGTGCCTATGTACCTGGAGGAAGCTTCGAAGGTTTCCATATGGCATGTACTCGAGCACGAGCAGCCAGGGGGAGTCGTTCATGCACACGCCCAGGATGCGCACCTGCACATGTGTGTGTGTGTGCGTTTGCGTGTGCGTTTGCGTGTGCGTTTGCGTACGTGTGTGAAGGGCATGAGATACGGTGAGTGAGAGTATGGGCAGGACACAACATAGGAGGATACAGAAGAAAGAAAAGAACCAATGCCATGCAAGCGCAACCACGCCAAAGCACGTGACACTGGTTGTGTGCAAGTACGGACAATGTTTGGATGGTCAAGCTGCAACATCACTTCTGCCTCGTGCTGGAATTCGCGCTGGCAACGTCACAACACAAACAACACAACACACACGTGCGTGCATTTGGTGGGGGGAAGCGTGAGAGATGCGCCGTGCGTTTGGAATTGCTGAGCAGCAGCAGCAAGCAACAAACACAAGCCGTGTTCCTGTCACCCCCACATACAACCACAATCACAACCACCACCACAATCACAACAAGCGCAATCTTGATCATCACGACGTCCCACCTCGTCGCTCTGCTCGCTCTCTGCGCGAAGCATCTTCACAGCGACGTCAACGGTGCCGAGCGTGTCGTCATCAAACGTGGCAAGATACACCATCCCAAACTGCCCTGCGCCAAGCCCGCGCGTGTGGTGCAGGCGATCACGGTCGAGCTAATGATTGATGGGGGGGGAGGAAGAGCGGTGGTG